TCACTAAACAACAGTGATATGGTAATACAGGGTAACTTCCACCTTCTCACAATAAGCAGTACCTTATTTTTAGACAAAATAAGTCACCTTCTGTGAGTCACTTAGTCACCAATAAGGGCATCCAATACAAGCATCTCATCTTAGACAATGAACTTCTAGACACCTAGCAAAAGTAAGCAGTTTCCAGCACCCATTAGGGAATAATTTAATTGATGTGCTACTGTTGAATTTTGCATGTATAGCTGCATTACTGACAGACAAACAGTGAAAAGAGGATAATAATTCAGTACAGACACACAGTCCCCCACTCAGGAACCATTATTTAAAAATGAGGCCCTGTTTTGAAACCTAATTAAAAACCCTGTGAAGGCAGAAGAAATCATACCACTAACTTTACTTATCTGAATCAAGCTTTCAAAATAACAGCCGTTAACAAATATTTTTAAATATTATAACACTTCAACTTATCCCATCAAATTCCACAGAATCTAGAGCCCTGAACAGACACCTGGATTCTCTAAAGATTTTAAGGGCATAGATATGCAAGGACTTCTTTTCTACACAATATAAAAAGTCAACAAAAACTTTTAAGTGGAACTGTCCTCCTTTTTCCCAAGGGATTAAAATACTACCAGTCTCTAAAAAAGGAAAAAAAAAGTCTCTTATTTAACTGCAAAAGTGCAGACAAGAGGCCAAGAGAAAGAATGGTTCTTTTCAATTACTAGTACAATATTCCTCTTAATCAGAATTCTGACCCAGAACGGCATTAGAAACCATTGTCAGGATAAAATGAAAGTGACAGAACAACTTAAAGCACAAAACTGTGCATTGAAGTTTTATACATTTTACCTCCAGCTCTGCTTTCTCTCCAAAGCCCGTACTCGGTGGACTTACCACTGAACAGTACTAATACAAATTCCAAATTTTCCTTCAAGAGGAAAAATCCTATATTGTACATATTTTGCAGTACATGAACAGTGACAAATTTCTCATCTGGGGCAGCTAGAAAAATCAGCCTAACTTGTTTGAAAGACCACCTACTGCACTTCAAAATACCACAGTAATTGCCATTTAAAATAAAAGGTAACTGTCGTGCATACAGAAGAACAAGGACAACGCAAATTCTGGGGATAGTCATCCTTCAAAAATTTCAGACAGGGATAGTCTGTACATTCTTGTTTAGGTAGAATAACAAGTCACATTATTTTTCAATGAACTGTACAATGCATAATCTCCTTTGTCAAAGAGGTCGTGGATAGCAGCAGAGAGGAAAATGCTGCCTGTCTTTCAGATAAAGGAAGGATGAAGCTGGCTTCTTTCCCAGGACTGAATGGGGAATCCTGACTTGGAAACCTTCTCACATGCAGAGTGGGGAGAGAAGGGAGGCTGCTGCACCAGTGCTGGCTGGGAGAATCCTAAGGACACAAGTGTGCAGTGCAGGCTCAGGTAACCACAGAAAGTTCCCCAAAAGTCCAGAGGAGGACTCGTGAACCAGAAAGGTGTGGAGGGCGTTTGAACCAGAAAGCCATTGAAGGTTGCTGGGGCAGACTGCAAGGAAACGATTCATCCTTCAAAGATGCTGTTTACAGGAGATGGGTTTACTTTTTACTGTTCTGCCCCATCCAGCTGATCCAAGTTTCTTGTAATTAAAGAAAAGAAACTATATTGAGTTAGCAATTTCTGATAGCATGCCAACGAAATGTGGCTTTAGAAAATGGAATTTTGCAGGTGCACTCACTGTAGGGAAGACAGTGGGACAGCTTTGGTGTGAGGTGCTGGCCTGACCAGCACTGCCAGAAGCAAGAGGTCTGCAGAAAACCCTCAAGTTAAAAACTGCATTCCCAGCAGAAAGAGAATAATATCATATTCTCAAACTAAGGTGCCAGTATAGCTCTTAGGAACACAGAATGGTGGGTTTGTTATTCTACTTTCCCTTACTCATCTTTTTTTTTGAGAGAAAGGGACAGATGAAGAAGAGGGAATGAACATGGGAATCGCATAACTGCACAAAGGTCATCAATATAGCTTTTAGAGGACCTGTGGGATAGAAGTGATTTTCTTCTGCCTAAGTGAACAGTTGAAAACAAATAAAAGTGATTTTTGTCAACTCAGTGACATCTACAGGGGCTGGGGGGGGAGAACCTAATGGACCGATGGAGAAGTTTAGCAGAGACAGAACCTGCTTCAAGGAAGGAAAAGCCGCCTTCCAAAATGCTGAGCACATGAACAGAAGTGGAAAAATGCGATACCAGAGGGACACAGGGATGCTGCACAGCCTAGATCACTGAAACCAAGGAAGAACAAAACGGGCAATATCAGTAGTGGATCTTTCCCTCAGCTGGGAGAGAGAAAAGGCTGAGAAACCTTTCCCTTGGGTGCTCTCTTGGGAACAACAAAGACTGTGTACTATTTTATGCAAACAAGGGTCCTGGAAGTCAAGTGAAAATGAATGTTGTCTAACCTGTGACCAGGAATGCACCTGGGCAGTGTGTTCAAAAAGAGAAAACTGGGTGTTGCATTATCTATTCCAGTACTAAGTAGACCAGATTTACCATGTTTTTGAGGGCAGTTGAATTTTGGGAAGGAGAAGGATGAATACGTCTCCTGTCTCAGCCAAGGGACACACGGCACAATGCAAAAGCAACGGGGAAGGAGAAAAGAGCAGGTCCTTTTAAAGACATGGAGCATGCCTGGAATGAAACCCAGGAAGATGACCTCAATATAAATAAAGATAATGTTGCTATGGGGATGGCTCAGATAAATTATAAGAGAAGGCTCTCACCAGCCTTTAGCAATATAGCATCATAGTTGATAAATCTGTGTGAAAAACAAAACAGATTGGTCAATTCAATGAAGTCTAGTATGAAACTTCTGGCCTTTGAAGAAAGTGTCTTTTTGTTTCTTTTGTAGCAAAGTACAGGTGAGCCTGGCTTCTAGCAAGCTTTCTAATACATTTTCCAGGTTCCTCAATACTGATTTATGGGCTGCTTGGCAGCAGCAGAATTAAATATATCATTCTCTGGCACATTTCAGTAAAAAAATGTCAGTCGGGAATGGAACGACAGCACCACTGAAAAGAAAGCTTTATAAAGGCACTAAAAACTCCCCAACCAACTCAATTCTAGCTATGCAACTTTACTATATATACAGTTGGAAAATTCTCCTTTAGGAAAGATAACCTTTAGGAAAGGTTGTTTTATGGGGAAAATTCCAGCTTGTGAGGCAGAGTGTGTCACCACAAGAATATGATGCACTGACAACAATCAGAAAGAGAAAAGATAAATAGCATGTTGATTTTGCCTAGGCAGAAGGATGCTTGAGGAACTACCCTGATAAAGCACAAGCTCCTTTTGAGGCTTCCTTTGCATAGCAACAACTAAGGCATCCTTCAATACATATACAATACACAGAAGTGCAATATCACAAAAACGGATGGACTACAACTTGAGTTGAAATCCTTGACCACTGCTGATGTTTAGCATTTCTAAAAATCAGCTCTATGATAGGCCCTATTTGCTAAGAAATACTAGAGAACAAGAGCAGTAATGACCGCTATTACTGTTTCTTTGAAGTCCAATGATGAAAGCTGAAGAAATGAACATACAAAGATCACAGCTGAAATGGTCCAAGAATTATAATCATAACTCCCCTGTCATATTGGCATGTTTGGACTGTTTTTAAGCTGCAGCAAATTACTATTGCAATTATGAAGTACAATTTCTCAGAATAACATTACAAATAACATAAAGCAGAGCAGCATCCTACAGCTATTTTTAGCTGACTACATAAATAAATACATTAGGTTATTATATTCACCAGACTCTTCCCACATTTTTAAAATTTATCTTTGTTTTTATGATGTGTTATTTAAGAATTTCATAAAATACTAAAATGTTGAGGTTGTGCAAATGTACTATCCATAATTTAACCAGTATTTTGAATGGCACACCAGAGTAAAACAGATCAATTTTAAATGTATAGTGTTACACTCCTAAATGAAATTTGCAGATCCGGGAACATTAGTACAATAAGACACTCCTCCCAATATGAGAGGAGTTATTGCCCTGTTTTAGCAACTTGCAGAGCACTGCTGTAAAGAAGCATTAACCCTAAGATAGCACTGGATGCAAATAATAAACATTATGATCATAGTATCTATTTGCATAATTCTGTAATCAAAAGCAGAGAAGAAATATGCTGTAATGATAAAAAAATTAACAAGTTAGGAAAAATTAACAGAAAATATGCTCTTAATGTACAGAAGTAGAAATAATCTGGTTATGATTGTTGAAATAGTTAAAAATCAAAGAAGTGATTATTTTTCAAAGATAGACCATGAAAATAAAAGTTCAATGACCCACAGTGTTTAGATGAATTTCAGCTAAAAAAACTCACCAAAAGCCTGAACAAAATAAAATCCTCATATGTGTGCTTCCTGTACGATCAGAATTCGGGGCAATAACGATTTACATGAATTATCGTCCTATTCCTTAAGACCATATTTTCCTTAAGACCATATTTGTTTGTGAAGCAAGAGTCTCCCAGGTCTCTTGCTGGAGCTACTAATCTGCACAGTAAATTCCTGTAAACTTCCTAAAATTTTTATGCCTTGTTACTTCATGACTCCAAAGTTACTTGCAATAGGTAATCTGAGGATCAGGAGGGGGTGCTCTGCTTAGATCCTTGATCTGGAAGATGCAAGTGCTACTGCCAGCCTAAGAATGAAATGCTAAAGCAGAACAAAGCATTGCTTTTCTTACAGAGATTACAGCCTGAGAGATCAAGAAACATTGCATGATGTTTAATTAATTTAACAATTCCTTGATATATACTAGCAAGCTGTCACATAAAATCTGAATATGACACACTAGAGAAAGAATTAAAGAAATTGTTCTAGAAATGTGAGAATAATTTTCATTGTGCTCATTCTGCTGCAAACTGGAAAAAAAAAAACCATTCCCAAGCCCACAGTATATACAGATTGTTTGGAAAGAACATACCTATTAACTCTTTATTTCTGACATCTAAGGCCATGTTTCGTAAAGCTGTAGCGACTGCACATACCACCCGGTCATTGTCTATCCGGAGCAGCTCCACCAGGATGGGCAATCCTTTCTCCTTGCGGACGGCAGCGCGGATGTACACCGACCACTGCGGGACAGAGAGAGGGGACACAGTGAGCAATGTGCCACAGTTCACTTCACACCTGAACTCACAACACAGTAAGGGCTAACAGAAGCACCTGGATGCAAAATTCAAAGGAGTGGAAATAATTGCATTGATGATGCCAGGCAACCACTCGATTTGGCAATCAGCACTCTTTTTTTTTATGGTGACAGAGAAATTAAATGATGAATTGACTTCTTTCCCAGCACACCTGGTTACATTTTCATGGCCCAAGTCTGCAGACAACTTACTTTTCACCAGCGTTTTGTATGCAACATCTAATGATGCTTTTTTAATGCTAAACTAACAATATTTATTTTACAAAATATGTATTTGTATTACAAAGCAAGTTCAAGAGGTCTGAGTATTTATTCTTTGTTGTTACCCTAAGAATTACTCAGTCTATAAACACAAAAACACTATTATCATTTCTCTTGTGATTGTTAACTTGTTCAGAAGGAGAACTGAGGATAATTTCATGCCTGGTTTTGGCAGCCGTAGTGATCCTAACTGGAATACTATTGTGCATTGAAGGGCCAGCCATTCCCTCAAGAGCTGACCTGAGGGCAGTGTGTGCCTGTGCTGTGCCTGGCTGCAGGGATCACGTGGCTGCAGGATAAAGCCAGTGGCTGATTCTATCAGAGAAGCCTGTAGGCATCTCCCACTTGACAGCTGGTCATGACACCACTGGCACGGCCTTGTCTTTGTATCAAAGCGAGCAGAATGTTCTCATGTAAACATCCTTTTCATTTGACAGCAGAAATGATGAATGGAGTTGTTTACTTCTAAAAAACTCTTCAGGAGCTCTAAAGATTATCACATCAGTGAACAAGGGATCTGTGCAGTGTGTTGTAATTGATTAGGAAATCCATCCAGAGCTGTACAACTTGGGGCTCCCAGCACATAAAGGGGTGAAAGATCAGCTATACTACCCTGTTTTCCATTCTGCTGCTATCTCCAGCAGTTGCAAAACATAAACAGGACAGCAGCTGGGACCTTGTGGGTTTAAAGTATATGGGTACTGCCAAAGTTAAGTTGTTTGGACATCTGTGGATTCACAGGTCTCCTCAGCACAGCCCACTTCAAAACAAGCCATCCACAGGCACACATTCCTTTCACTTCATGTTCTCTTCTCTGCAATTTCCATAAAGTTCACATTTATGTTTCTTGTACTGACAGTTTAAAGGAAATTATTGAAGCCGAATGCCTCCTTCCTTTCAGTGCCATGGCATGGATGCTTATCTTGCCATTGTACCTGGAAGGTGAAGACAAGTTCTGGAAGGCCTTTGCTTTTGAAATATTTCAATTATTTCAGAAACTAGGATGATAAGTCTTAGGATTTTCTGATCTAGATGTCTCTTCTCTTTTGACAAAGACATTCCACTGTAAAGAATAATTACATTGCAATAGCATTACTCCATAGCCAGGCAGAGGAAAAAAAAAAAGCACATTCACTGTAAGCAGACCATGCTTAACCCCTGCATACAGCCTCTACTTACCACAGCTGAAGAGCTCACTTTAAAAGCATCTGTTTATATCAGATATATGCCCTGAATAGCAAAAACCAGAATATATATTTATGATAAAAACAGTAGATGTGGAGATAGACAAGAAATCCAGTGCTGCAATGTCTGTAGTAGAAGTTCGTTCCAGGTGATATGATTCAGGGGAAATTGGGAAAAAAGGAACACAAACCAGAATTCCAGAATTTAAAGAGTATTTTTTTATTAATTCTTCTCTGTAGTAACTATGCATAACAAAAGCCAGTTGGCTGGACTTTGCTGAAGATGAAAGTGATAACAGTTATGATAAGCTATCTTGTCAGCTATGTTGGACAAGGGGTTCTCAGCATCCCTGAGCATAATAATGTGTCTAAAACATAAATGTGCTGACATTTTGTGCTGCAAAGCAAACAGCATAGGGGAGATAAATGATAGCAGGACTCTTTGTTGATCTTTTTCTATGCTCTCTCCTCCAGTCTCTCCTCTAGAACCAGTGTGTGGGATGATCATCAGATAAAAAAATAAAACAGATCTTAAGGATCAAAGAGTTTAACAGGAAGTATTTTGTGAAAAATTTTCTTCCCTATACATTAATTTTAATGGGATATTAAGTATAAAGGATGCTATGGAAACAACAAATGGATATTTCCAACCTTACTGGCTTAATAAATATGTATTTAACTGCCAGTTAGATTTATGCTCACCTGCAGCTGGGAAATGAGCAATACCTCCTTGCACTTAAAAAATGCTGTATTTTGTACATCTCTCCCGCGGGAAGCATCTGTTGTGTCTGCTGTGATTACAAGGCGACTGCCAGCGTGAGAGTTCAAGATAACAGCGAGAATATTTTGAGAAAGAAGTTAGCCTGTCTGGTTGAGGTGAGAGTTCAGGCTGGCTGAGAGTATTCTGAAAGATGCTGCTGTTCATTGCAGAAGTAAATCACAGATGTAGCATCTCCAGAATGGGCTACCTGTGGAACCAGTGGGGGTGTTTGTTTTGAGAGAAAAAAACCTTATCTATGTCTATTCAATACCAGGGAGAATCAAAAATAATCCCGTAGATTATTCACTATATTTTAAAAACCTCCATTCTAAAACCTCAGTAAACAGTTTTTCTTTGATTTTTTTTTAGCCACCTACCAAGAGAAAACATAAGCACTTGTTTTATAAAGCCAGGTTTAGAACAGACTTCTTAGGATGTAGCACTTTCATCATCCATTCCAACCCAAAAGTTTAAGAGGAACAAATTAGGAAATGTTTTGCTTTTAAGCCTAGAGAGAGAGTAGGAGACACTGTAGGAGAAACACTGAAATAACTCAGTATGAAAAAAAAAGAGAAAATATAAACCTCCTTACTAAATAAGCAACATGCAAGCCTTCAGGATCTGTAATGAACCAATCAATTTGATTATAACAGTAAAAAAGAGAGCTCCAAAGCTTTCACAGGGGAAAGATCCAGATTTAATTTTTTACAGATGCACATATGCACACATACATATAAAACAATGGGTGGAGTACTACAGAAAACTTATGTACAAAACCTCTCCTCTCTCCTGTGTACTCCTCTCCTTCCCAAGCTGTCTTTTTCCAGAGGATGTCATCCACTTTGGGAAAAGTTCACAGACTCCTCAATGTGTGATTTGCTATCATTTAATCTGCTGCTTCAAGTCATGAACCTTAGGCAGAAAGAGAGAAACGATTTAATTGTTTCAAAGGTCTCTGGAGAACTTTCCATGTGGAAAGTGGTATGAACTGTCTGGTCCTCTTTCCTTAAGCTGCCAATTAGGACAAGTCTCTGCAAGCAATTATGCTGCACTGTGTGGATTTCAGGAAAGCTCAAATGGAGGTGCCTCAAAAGGCTATTTCACTCTTGCAGAGAATGGAGAAATTGATTCAGCCTTGTGTACACTGATGATCCCTCTGTTTGCCTAAAGCCATCGTGTGGTGCCTGCATTTCCACATTGTGGGTCAATTGCTAATACGAGCTCAGTGAAGCACAAAAGCAAAGAGATGAAAAAATCATAAAAAAGAAAAGAGACAAAGGTGCCAGTAAGTAAACGAGGCACTCTGCTAATACACTTAATCATCCTGTTACTGCACAAATCAGTGGCAGTGTCAATGATCAAATAGCTGTTCAGTTTGTAAAGCAAAAGCATTCCTGTGGGACCAGCAAACACTTTAGCGGGAACAAGCAGCCAGAAAATAAAATCAAATCATTGTTGTTGCATCAGATTGAGGCTAAATTATCAGAGACAAGCACAGGAGCCAAAGTCTGTGCATGAATACACTTTACCAATAATGGAATTTGGGGGGCATAACTACTACACATCCCTTTGAAGGTAAACAGTAGAGCTCTATGTCCACTTTCATTAGTAGCTTCCTTTTTATTTTCATCATAGTAATTAGGTAGAAAAATAGAGTAAACTTGCAAATTATTTTTTTGTTTGTCAGATACCATCTGCACAAGTGAATGCCTCTAGGGATTTAAGATTATATTAGGCTGAAAGTCAAGAAAAGAGTAATTACTCTAGATAAAACTCAATTATATTTTTCAGAAGAATTTAAAAGCACTTATTCACTTAACTCCTTTTGGTGTTTCATATGGTTTTCTTTATTTCTCTATGAAGCAGGAACACAGGAGACCAAACTGAACAATGAAGAAATTTCCATCATAAAATGAGAAAGAAGAAAACTACCAAAATAAATTCCCCCTCTAAAATTGCAAGTACAACTGTATACACTTGACATTTGGAATGGATTCACTTTCCTGCCATTGACATCAGTGCTCCCCAAGTGTCTGCAGAATATTTCATCCATACTTCAGCTTTGACTAGAATTTGGATTGTACTGTACAGTTCAACATTGTGACCCAAAGACTACTGAGTTACTGAATACTAAAAGGAACTACTGAGACATAAACCACAACATGAAAGTTAAATCAGGAGCGCAGGCATGACACAGCAAACTAAATTACTCAGGAAACTAGAGTACCAGGAAGATTAGAGAGACTTGAGGTCTGCTATCAAAGGCATAGAAAGCATCCATGCTAACAGTAGTAAAATAGCAGACCATGGAAGAGAACTGCATGTGAAATAATCAAAGATCAGTGAGTAATTAAAGACTAATATTCCTCTCTGTCTGATCAGACTCAATGTAATATACCTATCAGGAAAAAAGGAAAATATTTTTATACTCAAAAATTACATTTCTACTTTACTCAAAAAACGCTATTGGGATCCCTAAGAAGTCACATCACCTCACAGAGAGCAAAGCTCTGAAATCTTGGTTAACTCTCTGCAGTTTCTGAAGAGAGCAGAAAGAGACTTCCCAAGGACTTTCTGTCCCAATTGTGGTGTTCTGCTCTCAGAATGATCCTGTCTGGTATATTACTAGCAAGCTCTCTACATCTTTGTGTTGGGACAAGAGTAAAGTGTTAACTGGTTACACTCTTTTGCTCCACAACCTTAGTCAAGGTTAAAGAGAAA